GTTGTTTATCATTATGCTTTAAAAATATTTTAAAAATTTATTTTTTATTTTTTATTTTAAATTAATATAATTTTAATGTTTTTAGAAGTTTTTGATCTTAAAATATTAATGTTAAAAATAATTTTTAAAATATTAAAAAATATTATTTTAATATATTTTTAAATAAAAAAATATTTTAAAAATAATCACTACTGTGCTCTTAAAACACACATGATATTAATATAAATCCTTGAAAGTTACCAATCATGTTTTAATGGAAAAGTACAAGAGAGGGACAGACGGAGAAAAAAATCCCCCAACACGAATCTCACCGTACAGATCACCCACTACTCACTACCATATTAACACGAGAAAAATGCGTGAAAAGACCTGCAGACATAACTTACAGGAGCAGGGACATGCAAACTAGACTTTTCATGGTCCCCCCTCACACGTAAAAGGTTTAAAATTTAAATTGATAAGATTTTTAATTTAAATTTTAAAAAATATTAATTCATATTTTATAAATTTATAAATTTTATGATTATTAAAGATTTATATAATTATTAATTTTATAAATTATAAAAATTAATTAAAATACACAAAAACTAGTTTGAATATCCACTTTAATAAAACAATAAAAAATTTTACTTTATAGAATAGAAACAACTATACTATCATAAATTTTTTAAAGTTATTAAAAATTTATATATTATTAATTTTTAATTTTTTAAAAAATAATTAAAATATATATAAATTAATCTAGATATACACAATTAAAAAACAATAATAGTTTTTCTAAGCAAATCTTAAATATTTATAATTATTATTATTATAATTTTTTTTATAAACATGGTAAAAGCTCTTTTCTAAATGAATTTTTAATTATTTTTAATTATCATTATTATAAAGAAAAATATAATTTTTTATGTTAAACAAATGATTTTGTTTAATGGTTTATAGTAATTTACTTTTTACGTTACAAGGTAAATATTATATTTTCTTAAATAACAATGTATATTTTGAATTGTAATTATAAAATAATATTATTGACAAGAATAATTAATGATAGTTATTTAAATTATTTAAAATTACGATATAATAAATAAATAATATGTAATAGTTTATAAATTCTCTTATCTGATAATAGTTTGTGACTTGAAACCAATAATGACTTTAAGAAATTGAACTAATTTAATTATATTCTGGGCATGGTTTGAGTTGGAAAAAAAAAAAAAAGTCCAAACAAAAACTAAGAAGACTGTAAATGCTGCTGGGCCAGTTTCTGTTGTCCACACACTATGCTATGTGCGAAACTACGTACCATAGTTGCTGTAGTTTTGTCGGTGCGATATTTTTTCTTAACAAACCTTAAAAATATTATTCAAATATATATATTCTTAATTTTATATCAAACAATTTTTTTTATCAATTTTAATTATTTGTATATCAGTTATATTTTTAAGTTTCTCAAAATTATCGATTAATTATTTTCATCAACTTTTAAGGTTTTTTATTAATATTTTTGTCGCCAAAGACATCTTGACATGCTATAAATAAAACGAATAAAATAAAGAAAATGAGTTGCATTTGTAGATTTATGATAATTAACAACTTTAATTTTTTATTTTAGATATTTTTAAGTTGGGGGCTAATTATACTAAATAAAAGATAAAACTTATTCTAAAACATTTTAAAATATATTGTTTTGTGCTGATTTTTATTGATAAAAGTGCTTATTTTTTAGTCAGGGGTTTAATTTACATCTAAAATAAATGTTTATGTTTATGTTTATCGTTGGATATAAAATATTTTTTAAGATCTAAGATAATAATTTAAGATTTAAGTTTGATAAAAATATCTAATTCTCACATTAAAATCTTAAAATACAGGTGTGAGATTTGGAAGAATGATAAATAATATATTTAGGCTTTGGCCTTATTCTTTTAGTTACACGATTTATATTTTATTTTTTAAAAATAAAATTTTAACTTCACGAGGAAATTATCCTTCCAAGGATTTTACCATTCTTTTAAGGAAACTTCACGAGGAAATAATCCTTTTTTAAGGATATAGAAACAAAACCTTATATTTTTTAAAAAATCATAAAGTTTCAATTTTTAAGGAACAAAAACCTTTTAAGGATTATATCACTTAAGGGTTCATTCTTTGATTAAAATGAACACAAAAATTTATTTATATATCTTTTTAAAAAATATATGGTTACATGTTCATTATTATGTTTATTGAGAAACAGAACCCTTTAAGGATTATATTGTATAGAGATTGATTCTTTGGCGAGAACAAAATTTTATTTACATAGCTTTATAGAGAAAACAAAATCAATTCTTTGGATCACAAAATTTAATTTTTCAGGACAAAACCTTTTTAAAAATTAAACCATCTCCAAGTCTAAAATGACCAACAAAAATTACATAGCAATTTCCATGTAAATATCATTATAATGCAAGTATTAACAAAGTCCCACATATATATATCCATATGTAAAGGAATATCATTCACAGATAATCCAACACAACTCAATTAATTCAAATCAATTAATCAATTTTTCAGGACAAAACCTTTTTAAAAATTAAACCATCTCCAAGTCTAAAATGACCAACAAAAATTACATAGCAATTTCCATGTAAATGTCATTATAATGCAAGTATTAACAAAGTCCCACATATATATCTATATGTAAAGGAATATCATTCACAAATAATCTAACACAGCTCAATTAATTACCTTCATAAAACCCCTTTCTCTCTCTCACATTTAACGTGCTTCATGTTTACAATATGTTTAGATGTATAGTTGCTTTTATATTTGAAGTAATCACAACAACTCGACCATTTAATAATACTCCAATACCTTTATTTCTTGTGCTATATCTAGCACTAAACACATTTGAAATACCTTCATAAAACCCCTTTCTCTCTCTCACATTTAACGTGCTTCATGTTTACAATATGTTTAGATATATAGTTGCTTTTATATTTGAAGTAATCACAACAACTCAACCATTTAATAATACTTCAATAATATATTTATATTAGTGGGGTCTATTATTAATTGTGGCATGACCATAGATTTGCAAGAAGAGCCGGAAAACTCATGAATAGTGGAGCATGCTCCACTGTTTTGCCTGAACTGGTTTGGTTTAACCCTAAAAATGCATTGAACCGGGTCCAATTTAATAAAATAAAAAATATTTTTTTTATTTTTAATTGTATTTTATTTAAAAAAACTAGTAATAAATATTATTCAATGACACTATATGAATTAAATGGAGATCATTTGATGACATAATATTTGTAGAATTTGATCGTAATCTTAG